ATGAATGAGTGTGAGAAAAGACACCTAAGTTTACACACACACACCCACACACACCAATTAACAACTTACACAACAATATGCTTTTCCAACTTTGCATATTGGTATTGATAATGCCAAATCATAACAAAAGGAGTCCATGTTTTGCAGAGTTGTTATAACAGACCATTTTATAGACACACTTTGTTATTATATGCATTTCCATGATCTGCAACTCCAAAATGATCCCTCTACTAAAAGTCCAAAGACTTGCAGTGTGATCCTGCACATGATTCAGAATCCTGCAGTGTGATCCATCATCCCCCTGGATTTGTGTAGAGATTAGGCAGTGTTGCATATCCTACACTTCATGGTGCCTTTTCTAGTCACTTTTCTTATTGCAAAAAGTCCAGATCCTATTAGGGAAGCAGGTTTATCTCACAAGAGCTCCAAACCATTCTTTAATTGTGCAGCCATAATTTGCTGGGATGGGGCTGAATCCAACCAGAAAAAATAGTGGCAGCCTGGAAGCACCCGTAATGTGAAGTTCCAGCTCCATTAACTACCCTTCCTCCTGAGCATCCATTGATGGCCTTTATCATTCTTGTCTGCTTTCCTACCTGCATTATATAGGTTGCCTTACTGAAGTAGCAGAGCTCTTATATGGCTGATCATAAGTGGACAAGCAGACTGAAAATATGATGAATGGCCTCCAGTTTGCCTATTCTTACAGCGCTCCTCTTCCTCTCCCTCACCCAGGTGTTTTTGTTGCTTTTTCACAAGGCTCTCCTGGGCAATTTGTAAAAGTAAACACAGAAACACCGATGCAATATCAGACACAGGTCATTTTCTTCCTGTCAGCCCTGTGTATCATTTGCTAGTTTATTGACATCCCAGGATCATGCAAGGAGGGCTGCCAGAGCTCTTAGCATTATTTATTTATTCCTGAGTTTGCTCAGACCTTTAATCAAAGTGCAAAAGCATTTCAAGAAGAAAAACGGGCTTCCCAAAACTGTTTGTATTCAGGCTTTGTTTTGAGGGGTTTGCGGAACGTGCGTCTGTCTGTAGATTTTTTCATGTAGGCTTTTTGGATGGGACCATTGCAAGGTCAAATCTATCCATACCTCATTTTCTCCTGACAAACAACCTGATGATACAGGCTAGGCTGGTGGACATCTTGCATTCTGGAATACAGGCATTAAGAATTGTGTTAGAAAATGCACAATAATTTTAGTGTGCGGATGTCACTGTGATTGAAGAGGAGGCTGATGGCATGCCATAATGGCAGCCCCAGTGGATCTAGAATGGCCCATTTTCATTGCCAGCACTAGCACCTAGAAGTCTGGTCTATCAGTTTTCCTGAGAGAAAGAGACATTTGCTCTTATGTTCCCCTACAGTAGTGCGCCTTCTTCCCCTTCACATTGGTGTTAATGGCTTGTATTCAATTCAGCACCAAGCAACGGTGTCATCAGCACAAGGGTTTACAGCCCCACCATATACTCCCTAATTCTATCCTAGGTTTCCCCCCAAACCTCTGGATCAGATTTGAAGAGGGTGCAGGACATGCACAGGAAGGAGAGGGGAAAGTCCTGTTGCACAAGCATCCACCCTTGCATTGATGGGACTGTTACTTAGTGCTGCATTGAATACAAGCCAATGTTTCTTTCCTGGAAAACAGTGTTATGCACCGCCCCCTTCCCTGAGCAGTGAGAAGTTCCAAGGGCAGTACTGCGGGGTCTAGTTTCCTTTCAATAAGACAGGAGATTGATGCTATCTTTGTAATCTCTGCTTTACTTACAGATCTGCATCCACTCTCGGAGGCAGTGGTGCTGTGGTCTAAGCAGTGTTTCCCAACCTTGTGCCTCCAGCTGTTTTTGGACTACAATTCCCATCATCCCTTGCCACTGGTCTTGCTAGTCAGGGATGATGGGAGTTGTAGTTCAAAAACAGCTGGAGGCACAAGGTTGGGAAACACTGGTCTAAAGCACTGAGCCTCTTGGGCTTGCCGATCGGAAGGTCAGCGATTCGAATCCCCACGATGGGGTGAGCTCCCGTTGCTCGGTCCCAGCTCCTGCCAACCTAGCAGTTCGAAAGCATGCCAGTGCAAGTAGAGAAATAGGTATCACTACGGCGGGAAGGTAAATAGCGTTTCTTTGCGCTCTGGTTTCCATCATCGTGTCCCGTTGTGCCAGAAGTGGTTTAGTCATGCTGGCCACATGACCTGGAAAGCTGTCTGTGGACAAACGTCAGCTCCCTCGGCCTGAAAGCAAGATGAGCGCTGCAACCCCATAGTTGCCTTTGACTGGACTTAAGTGTCCAGGGGTCCTTTACCTTTATCTTTCTTACCTTGCCTCTGAATACCAGTTACTGAGAATCGCAAGTGGGGAGAGTGCTGTTGCACCCAGCTCCTGCTTGCAGGCTTCTCACAGGCATCAGTCACTCCAGAAACAGGATGATATGATTTGATAGGGCTTTGGCCTGATCCAGCATTGTGGACAAGTGTCCAATTGAGCAGGGTGAGCATAACCAAGGAACACACCGAGGTGGAAAGCCAAAGTGTTTATTCAGCCGTGGCAGAAGGCACAGAATAGGTTAATACCTGAAAAATCTGTGTGACTCTAAGGAGCTCACGACACATATTTATACAGTTATACATCATTACACGTGAAGAACATGTGATCACAGACATGCTTTGCTAAAGTCAAACAGATAATACCTAGTTGGGCTTCACAGGAAACACCTTGTGGCCAGTCTTCAGGGCATGAGGGTCTTAGTTCCTAAATAAAACGTTTTAGCAGATTTGGTGGTTGCTCTCTGTCACAACCTCTTCCCTCCTGGACATTGCCTTTCCGACCAGGAACCAGGAACCCCCCAACCACGAAGTCTGAACGTTTGACTTTCCCAAAAGGCACCAGCACTACCAGGAAACCTCCGACCACAAAGGCTATTGAAAGTGGACAGTTTGACTTTTCTTCTAAAAGCACCTTGTGGACAGCTAAATGGGTCATGCTAAGTAGGTCATGTCAGTTGCAAGCCATCATCATGGACACACTTAGACCAAGAGGGTCTCTCTAGCTCCTTCACCAGCAGGGCTCTTTTGCTCCTGCCAGTGTTTGGAGGGCCCTTGAACAAGATATCCTCCTTGGATCCCCTTCCTCAGTTTGACTATCACCTCTTCGCCATTATTACTCCCTGTCCCTCTTGTTCCTCATCATTGCTACCCCTTCCTAACTTCCCTGGCAGAGAGCTGATGAGCAAGCAGGTAGTGGCATCTATCGCTCTTTGTTCTTACCACCGCCATCTGTCTAGGCCAGAATGAGAGGTGTGTGAAGGAGTGGGCTGTCAGCGGGGCCCCTTCTGGGCATGGGCCCTCAGCAAATGCCCAGCCATGCTGATCCTCTGATGAGCAGAGCATAAACAGAGGCAAAGAGAGATGCCTACAAAGCAGATCCCTAAATTCCATTGAACTGCCTGGTGGTGCCTGTTAGGGGCTGGGATTGTTGCAAAGAATGTTGAATTACAGTGGAGCCTCGGGTTACGTCACCCTTGGCTGCAGACTGGTGCAAACCCAGAAGTACCGGAATGGTACTTCTGGGTTCACACTGTCCGTGCTTGTACAGAACTGCTAAATCGCGTGCGAGAGCAGATGCGATGCTTTGCGTTGCGTCGTTTTCAGGTTGTTTTCAGGAACAGATCCCCACCGTAACCTGAGGTTCCACTGTAGTGGATTTTAGTCTGATCTAGGAAAGTGGTTCATAAGTACAAGCGCAGACTTGGGATCCCTTAATCCAGATTAGTTATGCCTGGCTTGAGTAAGTGCCCTACTTTAGATCTGCAGCACACACACGTGTGTGTGTGTTTTAAGCCGACCATACAAAACTGAAAGTCAGTTCAAACCCCGGAATAAAGAAGATGAAAGAATGTTATTTGCTCCATTTCCACACAGAAATTTCCCTGCTGCACTGCTTTATAAAAGCTTCAAAAGGAGGAGGCTATAGCCCGATGTACAGAACGTTACCTTTGGAGTGGTAATGCACTTTCTGGCAGCTCAGAGTTTTGGAGGGCGGGGAACAGTCCTTCAGCAGTGGCCTTTCAACCAATCCATGAATAAATGAAGCCTCTAGATCACTGGAACACCAGAGGATGCTTCAAAATAGCCTCCTTGGTGCAGTGCATTAGTTGACTACATAGCTTCAGTGTGTGTAATGAGCAATATATTAATTTATAATTAGTGTAATACAGTAGAGCTCAGCAAATAGCTTGGTGCATCCTGGATAATTCATCAAGAAAAGGAGCAGCCCTTAATGGGTTCGAAGGTTTGCCTGTCCCCTGTAATCGGGAAGGGCAGAATTTATTGTGATTCCTTTTACGGGGCAATTTGATTGCAGCCACACATCTTCATTTCGTGCCTCTTTCCTGCTGCTGCCGCTGCATCCTGCACAGAGAAGGCTGCTCCAAAACTAAAGCACTCCGCTGTACCTTCTGTGGCCTCATTTGCTAATACGCATTTGCAGAGTGTGCTGCTTCACAGAACCTTTGACCTCAAGGACTCCCTCCAGTATAAACTCTTTGCTCCAAAATGTTGTCTTGTCACTTTCATAGCAGTTTCCCAGAAGTGTGCTTTCTCTCTCTCTCTCTCTCTCTCTCTCTCCCCCACTCTTCTATTTTATTTGCTTCCACCCTACCTATTCTGTTTTATAGGATTTTGGAGTCATATCCTGGTGGTTCCTATATTTTTATGATCTGATCATAGGGGCAGTAAAAGGCTGAAACTGAGACCACAGGGGAAACACTATGCAACTGTAGTTCCCGCCACTCACAGATCCACTAAAGGAAATTTTCTAAGCATTCTCACTGCAAGAAGTGAAGTTACAAGGAGCCAGGCAGAGGGCCTTCTCAGTAGTGGTGGAATGCCCTTCCACCAGATGTCAAGGAGATAAATGACACAACTTTCCAAAGACATCTGCAGGCAGCCGTGTATCAGGAAGTTTTTAATGTTTGATACTTCACTGTGCTTATTTTATATTATGTTGGACGCCACACAGACTGGCTGGGGCAACACAGTTGAATGGGTGGGGTATAAGTAATAAACCATCATCATCCAAGGGAGGAGCATTAGTAGCAAAGCATTTGCTTTGCTTGCAGAAGGCCTCTGGGTCAGTCCCTGCTATTTCCTGCTAAGGGACACCGGATTTAAGTTCTGAGAAATATCCCTGCCAGACAGAGTAACTGGCACTGGCAAAGATGGACCAATGGTCCAAGTTGGGGGATGATTTGCCTCTAAGACCTTGTTAGGGTTAAATCTTAAACAATCTTACAAGTGGCTGCAAACCTCCTTTGGCCCAGTCATGTCTTTACCTGTCCTGAAGTTGACATCATGCATGATATCAGGAGTACGGCAGGTGGGTGTGGCCAAAACAGTATTGCGGGCGAAATGGGGAGGCCTGGAGGGTCTAATTATGCTCCCGCCCTTTTGTCCCAAAATGGTTATGTCAATCAAGCCCTGTTCTGTCCAGCAATAGGAAGCTCCCCACATAATTCTTGATTTCCGCCTCCTGCCACCTGACAAATAGCAGCTAGGAGGCAAGTTAGATCAGGAAAATGGCACTGGAGAAACGTGTTAAATAACTCCCCCTTCCACCAGCAATGCTATACTGATGAAAAGTGTAAGGTCCTAGAGAACAAGGAAACTACTGAGACTTATAAAAAGCTGTGGGAGAGGGACACTGAGCGACATCATGGGAGGGGTGTTTCTAGGACTAAGGTAAAACTGTGAAGCCCCCTTGTTATTTTTCCAGTTGGTGGTGGTTTAAGTAATCTTCTGTAATGCTTGCTTGGAATGCATTCCCTTTTTTCTTTGTTGTAAGCTGCTTTGAGCATGATTTATTGATGGAAAAGTGGCATATGAATGAATGAGCTGGCAGAAGAGGGAAGTGGGATAGCGCAAAGGGACACTTCCTTGCAACCAAATATAGTTATATAGTGACTCCCCTATGAAGAGAGGTTGCAGCATTTGGGACTTTTTAGTTTAAGAGAAAAGGCAAGTAAGAGGTGGCATGATCCAGGTTTATAAAATGATTCCTGGCATGGAGAAAGTGGGTACAGAAATGTTTTTCACTGGTCCAGCACCTTGTTCTCGCGGTGGCCAACTAGATGCCCATGGGAAGCCTGAAATCAAGACCTGAGCACAACAGCACTCTCCTCTCCTGCAGTATTCAGACATATGGAGATCAGTGAAGGTAGAAAATAGCCAGCAGGTTTAGTAGCCATTGTCACATCTCTAGCCAAAGACTCTATGTAAACTTGAACAAGCCAGTTAATTTTTCTGGGCCTCTTATACAAAACCCATTGATATGGGCTCCTTCTGTACAGCATTAAATGTAGAAGACCATATAAGCCAAACTTAAGCACTTGACCTTTCAAAACCTTAGGAGGCAGTTCTGAAATTGACAAGATCACTTAAGTACTGGTATAAAGAGCAGTGTGGTTTTTCAATAAAATCTACATACATAAAATCAGCGGTTTTGTCCTAAAAGGCCACTTTTGGAGTTTTGGATAGAATGAACTTCATTAGGATTTCATTTTCTTCCTTGCCTGGGGAGCTGTTAGTTGTGAAGAATAAAAACTACCTCGGCTCAGCATGCCTTTTTCTATACCGAAAGAACTTCGTGAAATCTTGAAAGCTGCAGGCTTCTGTGGGAAGGGGATTTCATTTTCTGTGAAATGATTTGGAAGCAAACATATTTGTACTTACAGCAATGAAATTTTAATTGTGCAGGCTTCATCCGGTGAACAATCTGGTCTAATTTAACAAGAATTTCAGTGATTTTAAAAAAAGAAATTTATCTGATTTGGTTTCACTTTTCACGATGAAAACGTTTTTATTTTGAGAGTAACACACTATTGGCTTGTTATCACAGGACTATTAAAGGGTTTCCCTCAATTATTTGATTAGTATTAAAAATGCATTTGATTTAGCTCCCTTGTTCAGTAACCATTAAATTGTTATTGTTGTCTTTTAAGCTTTATGATCTTGGCATCCTGAATAGTAAAATGTTAGAACCACCCAGGGCCCATTTTAAGTGTGTGCATTCTTGTGATATATTGCTCGGCCAAATAATGTTTAAATGTTATCTCATGCTACACATTTGCTCTACAATTGTGATTATACCAAGCATGGGGGGCATGTTACACTGTTTATCCAAATACATACTGGGAAATGGCAGGGACTAGACCACTTACCTACGTGTAGAATAAAACAGGTTTTGTGAACCGGTTTGAAGTTGCAGTCCATCCTGGCCACAGAAGCCCATCAGCTAAAGTAGATCTTGCTGTAGATATGTCTGCATCAGGTCATAATGGACTGCCAGCCACTCTGCAGCAGCAGCAGCCTGCGTGCATTGACCACCACCCCACTCATTGCAACTGCAACGGGAATCCCCTTCCTGAGCTCCAAGCATCATACAGCTGCATTGGTCAGAATGGCACTGAACAGCTGGGGCTGGAAGGAGACAGAACCAGGCCCTTTATATTTTCTTCAGGCAGCAGAAGGCTGTCAGGAGGAGGAGCAAGAAAGGACACAGGGAGGGAGGCTCTTCACAGTGACCTCTGTAGAAAGCAGGGAGAGTGGTCAGCCATTATATTCTTATTTTGCATTTATATCGAAATTTTGAGCATAGAAAATATTTCACATGTATTCTTGGACTCTTTACAACACCCCTGCAAGGCAGGCCAGTGTGATACTCCTACATTGTGGGTGGGAGGTGGGAAACAGAGAGTTCCTAATGCCATCTAACGTGTTCAGAATGTGAACCAGTGACTTATTAGGCTTTGCACTATGCTAAGAAGTCCTAGCCTAGTGTCTTCTATTTTTCTGCCAGTCTGGCTCTCACTGACATACTGAGCCAATTAGTGATTCCTCTCTCCCAACGTCTTCCACTAAATTCATTTTATACTTTGAAATTCAGCGCTTTGCCTTTGTTCTCCTTTAAATTTGGCACAATATGCACGCACCCCTGATCCTCTCCCGCGCTGAACCCCAACCCCAATTAAGCGCGGATGGGAGCGCAAACTTGATCGACCTCCAGCGACCCCCAAAATGCAGCTCCACACCCAAAGGCAAGGAAGGAAATGCATCTCCTTCCTTGTAGCCTTGGAAGCGAAGGGACAACGCAGGCTCGCCACTTTTGCTCTCGAACAGCCTCGCGTCAGGCAGACAGTCACGCTTTCCTTACCTCTGCACCAGCATGCCAGAGGAAAAGCTCCACCTGTTGAATTTCTGCCTGCCACACCGCTGATGATGAAGGTGCAACGACTCTTACCTGCCGCGGGAAGAAGCACAACGCAGCCCCTACGCCCAGACGGAAGGGAGGAATCTAGTAAGGGGACCTCCCTAGATCCCTGGAGCCTAAGACGCTCCTGCCCCTCCAAAAAAGGGAAGAATGCCCCTGGCGGCCTGTAGGGGTCGCTGCGGTCCTTCCGTGCGCCCGCCTCTGCGCGCCCAGCAGCCCCCGGAGGAGGCTGAGGCTCAGGCTGGCAGCGCGCGGAGCAAAGGCAGCCGGATGCCGTGGCGAGCGGAGCCTCCTGCAAAGGCTGCGCGCGCGTGCCGAGCGGCAGCAGGGAGACGCCGGGCAGCCCCGCCGGAGAGACTGGCCGAGGCGATGCCAGGCGGCCCCGGGCGCCAGAGCCGAGGAGGCGCGGGCACGAGGCACCGTTGCTGACTCGCGGCCGCGACGGACGGATCCCGACGGCCCTCCCGGGGCGCAGCAAGCTGGGTAGAGCGAGAGGGGCGCCAGAGCCGAGGGGGCCCGCCGCCAGGACGCGCCGCCCACCGGTAAGGGAAGCACGTCGGGGATGGCTCGGCGCGGCCGCTTCGGAGGGGGCCGAGCGCGTCAAGTTTCCCCGCGGGCTCGACGGGGCAGTGAGCCGCCTCTGGGCTCCTCTCGCGCAAGTTTGGGGGCTTGGCGGTGGTCCTGCAGCCGGCTGGACAGCGAGAGCTGCGCCGCTCCGTCGCGCCTGCTTGTGCCTGGCCGGCTCACCGGGGACGCGGTGGTTTCGGCCAGCAGGCTGGTCAGGGTGCCTGCGTTGCGCGCTCTCGGGGTTGGAGCGACGGGCGAGCTAGTTTGGGAACTGAACTTCAGCGTTCTCAGCGCCGAGCGCGTTGTCGAAATCGGATCTGGGATGGGGGTCCCTTCGCTCTTGCTTCAAGGGAAACAGGAGCGCCGGCAGTCAGAAGAGCGAAACGGGGTCTGCTAAGCCATTGTAAGGGACGGGCTCTTGGCAACGGAATCGAGGGCTTCCTCGCGGAGTTCGCGGCGGCTCCGATGCCGTCTGCGCAGGTCTGACGTGCACTCCATTTTGGCTGGGCTTTGGCAGTGCGCACGTTTGAAGACAACTGGTGTTCTTGAGAGGGGTGTGTGTGTGTGTGTGTGTGTGTGTGAGAGAGAGAGAGAGAGAGAGAGAGAGAGAGAATGATTTAAAGCTTTCCGAACACGGTGGAAAGCAAAACTCCGAGTGCAAAACTACATGGCACCGGCCACTAACAAGAAATCCAGAAAATCTAACAACAGCAATTGCTCCTAATACTCCTCGGTCAGCCCTACTGTTAATTCAGCAGTCTTCCATGCGTAGAATAGGAAAGCACAGTACGGGCGGGGTATCTGCAAGAGGCAGTGAATCTTTGGAGGTCTTCATACCTTCCCCAACAATGCTTGCAGGGGGATTTGTTGAGTTCTGGTCCTTAGCATGCAAAATCAGCACCTTGCTCTCCGCAGAGGTCGACCTCGGACCCACATAGAACATAGGAAAGAACATTCCTGCCCCACTTGTGTCCTGCCAGTCCCAGATTCCGTTGCTGACTTGCATTCCCCTTGCAACCTCACCCTCGTGCGATGGAGCTCCCTAGCTGGCTCACAGAAGCAATGGACAATCTCAGGAAGGGTAGGATGGAGGCTGTTGACATCAACCACAGAATGGAGAGCACCTCCTGGGTCCCCTAAGGGTACAGAGGAGAAGTGTTTACCTACAAGGGGAGTTGCCCTGCCTCACCCCTGATTATTATTATTTTTGGGGGGGGTGTTGGATCAAGGTAATTTCTTCTGCAGCGAGAGTGGCATTTTGTTGCATCACTTTAAAGATAACCCTGATGTCACAGTAGGTGTCAGAGAAGCAGGCTGCTGCTGAGGGCTGCAGCACAGCCACATGGAGGGCACCTCCATGTGGCTGTGCTGCAGCCCTCAGCAGCAGCCTGCTTCTCTGACACCTACTGTTTCCCCTGCTGCTACTTTCTCTCAGGACCACCCAACCTGCAGGTTAAGACACCTGCTTCAATGGATGCTGTTGCAGGGCCAACCCTACTATTAGGCAGAGGGAGGCGGCTGCCTCAGGCAGCTGATTGTGGGCGTTGTGAAAGGGTAGCAGATTCGTAATTAGGCGTGTTGTTGCATTTGTAGTTCCAGGGAGGGGAAGCAGCAGCACGTGCTGGATTTTCTGCCTCAGATGTCGAAACAGCTTGACTTGCGTGGAGTGTGTCACTTGTGATCTGCCCAGGTGGCAAAATGTCTTGGGCTGGCCTTGGAAGCATAAACCAAAATAATTTTGTTTCTCAAATTACACTCAAGGCATCTTGTTACTTTCTAGAAATGCTTTCCCCCTTTATCCTATTATGCACTTAAAGTCACCTGTTTACATGTAGGCCTGTTTTGGGTCTGGGAGCATCTAATCCTACAGTACAGGTGAACTTAGGAGGTGCTGGACCACCCATGCTTGAGTGGGAGGCCCCCATGAGCTTCATGGAAAGCCACTCTCAAGGAAGAGCAGGACATAAGTAAGATGATGATGATAATATAGGCCAACTCATGCTGTGGCTTTTGTGCGGTCTAGTGGAATGATGGTCTCCTCACACCACATTGCATTCCTTGGAATGTGAGTTCTGATGTGCACCATCCAAATTCAAATTCCTTTGAAAGTAATGCAGTGTTTATAGACATTCTGCACTGGGATGTATATTTGGAGATGCATACTGTTATTACTAATAATTCTAACAGTGGAGGAAAGTTGGATTCAGAGAATGTCTGCTTAAAGCTGTGTATTTTCCAAGACTTATCTCCTCCTTTAATCCTTTCTCTCTCCCTCCTTCCACCAATCATTTAAGTTGTATGGGAGCAGTCCTCCTTGCAGCTTAAAACATTGTCCATTGTCTGGCGACCTCTTCTCTTGACTAGCAGAAACTGCTGGTCAAGCGGACCTCAGGAGGGCCATACTGGCCAAGACTATGTCCCCAGTTAGCCTCAGCCAGCACAATTCCCCTGCAGCATTTCAACTGCATTCCCTCTCTTTTCCCTGCCTAATTTCGTAGATGCATGAGAACACCTGGCTTAGCAAAGCAATTGGTACAAGTGGCAGGTGCTCTAGGGCTTGTCAAAAGTTCGCTGCTGCTCACAATTGACAGCAGCTTGTGGCTGCAGTGAGCTGGGCACAGAATGATACCCTGATCTGTGCTTAAGGGCCACAGGTCTCTCCTGTGTGATTTCAGGAATTGTGAGTCCAATTCTGTGTGCACTTGTATCTGTATAAATGCAGGGCATGTTTTAGTTTTTCTTTTCTTTTTAATTCATGGGCAGTAGCAGATGAGCCTATGTTGATCTCTACATTTCCTTCCCCCATAAATAAATAATGCTGACACCTTTCATTGATAGGAGGGTGACATCATGGGGTAGAGACATTGCTACTACGTTTTCCTGGAGAAAATATGATATTTGGAAGACTGCTGTAAATCCACCTCTTTGGCCTTGCAGGTAGCAGCTGAGCCCTGATGCCATCTTACTCAAAATCATGGCTGTCTCAAATCAGGTAGTCTTACTGAAATGAGTGGCTTGTGACCATCAGAGTATCTACAAAATTCAGAAATCTTGAGTCGTCTCCTCCTTTTGGCCACTAATCTGTTACACAAATAGAAGAGCAAATATCTTCTTTACAACTGTTTAAAATTATACATGGTCTCAGGCATGCTGAAACCAGGATGCTTTGAGGTCACCAGCTGCCCACAACCAGATGATAAATATATTCAGCTGCCAAAGACTGAACCATCACAAAATTGACTGAGGGCAACTTCATAGCCAGATTCCAAAGAAAAGTGCTTGCCCCAAAATGGCTTAGCCGGTGGTTGAACACTCTCAAGCTCTTTATCACATAGTGATGGCAGCAATGGAGCTGTAAGATGAAAGAGAGAAAATGGTGGTGGTGATTTGTTAGCATCCCCTGCTCAAGGTTTTTTTTTTAAATGGGATCACCTGCAGCTTAAGGAGGATACAGTTGAGAACCAGGAGCTCACTAAATTTTGTAGTGTACAAAATTGAGAAACTGATTATTTTTCATAGCGACAATACTGTCTAAGGTGCCTGACCCTCCCACTTTTACCACAAAAGTGTGCTTCTGTAAGTGGTATCCAACTCCTTCATCTCACCAGTACACAGATTTCTGCTCGCGCAGTGGGGTCCCTCTCATCTCCTCCCCCTGTGTGCCCTGTACCCTCTCTAAATCTGCTCTGGAGATTTCGGAGAACCCCTGAACAGATGTAGGGGGCGGGTGGAGGGAGGAGGGGAGAAAGTCTTGCGACTCAAGTGAAAATCCTTGCCTTGACAGGACAGTTACTTACTGCTGCAACTGGATACTGTATAAGCCTATATTTTTCTGTGGTTGTTTTCTATATATTCCTATATACTATTGGAATGTGGGCTAGAAAGATGGAAATGGAGTGACCGTGAACATAGCAATGAGTAGGATAGTTTCCAATCCTGAGGAGTGGAAGGGCTTTGGGAACTGTGTTTGTTAAGCTGTAAACAGAACAAAATGAGTGAGCACTCTATACTGCAACATTTTGCTACAGTCCCACTTGTCTGTAACTATTTTAAGGCACGACAACTTACAAACACAAATTTCCCTTACATTGTTTGATTTTTTTAAGGCCAGGGGAGCTGGAAACTAACACTGGGTTTCTAGTGCTGCTGTCAGTATTTCCAGTATTCCATGAGTGGGAAGTGGTCCCAGTCCGTAGGCTCAACTCTCTGACTCTCCCCTGGCTAAGGATGCCATGAGGCTATTGCAGAGATGCTGATGGCAAAGGAAACTGTGGAGAGGGACGATGAAGCAAAAGCATAGCATGTGCTGGGAGATGTGATGGTCTAATTTCTGTAAGCCTGTCTGCTCTTGTTTTTATTATAGAATATTCCTTGCAGAATGGCCCTGGAGCATGTGGTGCTTTCTGAGGCTCTGCTTTCTAGGCTGGATCTTTCCAGCAGCATTACAAAGAGACTCCCAGGTTCTCCACAGCTACCTGCATTTTGTGGAACTTGCTGCCACAGAATGGCACTGAGGTTTAGGATTCAGCTGTGGGTCCAAGTGGTCATTGGCTGGATAGCCAGTATAGGAAAGCTCATATTTTAAATATATGAGCAACCTTGCATGTAGACAGCTGTGTGGAAAATCTACTTTGTCCTGAGTGTGGACATTAAGGAAATAATGGTGTGTTTGAGGTATCCCTAGTGGTTCAGATTAGGGCTGCCAAACCCTCCCTCATGGGTTCTGTATATGGGTGTAGTTTCAGCTGCTGGAGTGGCTTGAGAGATTACTCTAAACCTCTTACTGACTAGAGCAGGCATGGGCAAACTCGGCCCTCCAGATGTTTTGGGACTACAATTCCCATCATCCCTGACCACTGGTCCTGTTAGCTATGGATGATGGGAGTTGTAGTCCCAAAACATCTGGAGGGCCGAGTTTGCCCATGCCTGGCTTTCCTCCCTCTCTTCCCCCCATGAAAACCCTGAAATTGGCTCTCGGGGCCCCACCCCCTCTCAGAGGCCCCACCAACATGTACTTTTGCTGGGCTGAAATACGTCCCTTGAACTGTATTAATATCTCTTGCTTGCCTGAAAGGAGGAAGGAGAGGTGTGTATGTAAGACCTCTGTCTTTTGCATGGCTGAGAAGTAACCTACCGTACAAAAGCAAGGATTACACCTATTGTTGTGTCCATTTTCATGTCTGGACCCTTCCATCCCTTGTATTAGTGCCACAGAATGTTATCTACAAGGAAATGTGACCTCTACTTTTAAGGCAATTTGTTGAATGACATTGTATGGTGGTTATTGTTCCAAAACATGTTAGCTGGTGTCTTATTGCTGGCAGTTTTGAGGGCCATTGATGGGAAAGTGCACCATTAAATAGAATAAATGAAGAAAGCATAACGAGGAAAACATGATGTACCAAAGTGGAGAATGGTGCAGAACTGGCACTTTTTTACTTTTGTCCAAATAATGATATAACCAGCCTTGCCATAATTACCTTAGAGATATAGTCAGTGATTCATAATTTGTAGGTTCCATTAGAGAAGGTTTCCCCCCTAAAGGTTACTGCTAGGTTTGGTATAAATCTAATGCTGGCATCATGTTTTGTGGAGAAGCGTTAAAGCCCGTTATATGCCACTAATCCATTTATGTAGAAGTCCTTCCAGTTGTTCATCTGGAGTCCATTTCTGCAAGGTGCCAGAAATGACAGAAATCATACTTGGAGATGTAGCTTGGATTGCGTAGACCACAGAATTTGAGAGTTGTTGTTGTTGTTTAGTCATTTAGTCATGTCTGACTCTTCGTGACCCCATGGACCAGAGCATGCCAGGCATTCCTGTCTTCCACTGGCTCCCGCAGTTTGGTCAGACTCATGTTCGTAGCTTCGAGAACACTGTCCAATCATCTCGTCCTCTGTCGTCCCCTTCTTCTTGTGCCCTCCATCTTTCCCAACATCAGGGTCTTTTCCAGGGAGTCTTCTCTTCTCATGAGGTGGCCAAAGTATTGGAGCCTCAGCTTCACGATCTGTCCTTCCAGTGAGCACTCAGGGCTGATTTCCCTAAGAATGGAGAGGTTTGATCTTCTTGCAGTCCATGGGACTCTCTAGAATATCCTCCAGCACCATAATTCAAAAGCATTGAGAGTTATTAGATGATCCCTATTCCCTTCACAGAGCTACATTTCACAGAATTCCCTGGCAAGAATTGTAGCTCTGTGAGGGGACTAGGGGTCTCCTAACAACTCTCAGCACCCTTAACAAACTATAGTCCCTAGGATTGTTTGGTGGAAGCCATGAATGTTTAAATAGCTTTAAATGTGTAATGCAGATGGGCCTCACTTTCTCAATATTCTGTGCCACTGAGTTCTTATGAGGTTGTTTTGAGGGGCTCCCCTTTAGTATTCTCCCACTAACACATCCACAAACCTCAGGATTACTTTGAGTCTGCTGGAACCTTTCTCTTGTGTGTGGGTGGTGCAGTTTTCGCTATATAAACACAAGCATGAGGTGACTTGAACTGAAATTAGAAGGAATTGTGATGAACAACATAAGGTGTGATACCTGATTGCAGAGACCATTTGTGTGGCCTAGCAAAGCTGTTAACATAGGCTTGTTTGCAGCACACAGAACTGCACTTCCCTGAACCCTGAGCATAATTCAGTGTGATAGGTAAAGGTAAAGGGACCCCTGACCATTAGGTCCAGTCGCGGATGACTCTGGGGTTGCGGCGCTCATCTCGCTTTATTGGCCGAGGGAGCTGGCGTACAGCTTCCGGGTCATGGCCAGCATGACTAAGCCTCTTCTGGTGAACCAGAGCAGTGCACGGAAACACCGTTTACCTTCCCGCCGGAGTGGTACCTATTTATCTACTTGCACTTTGACGTGCTTTCAAACTGCTAGGTTGGCAGGAACAGGGACGAGCA